CCAACCTTAAAAAACCTGCGTTTTAAACGCATTTTCACTTTTTTACAACCATTTTTGAAACTGTCAATTATTTTACAAGTCGTTTTAACAATTGTTTAGAAATTCTGGCAAATTATGCAGGTGTTATCTTTCTATATTTGAAGTGTGCATTATATCGGTACTTTCTTCTTGAGTTCACATGGCAGAATAAGGTTAGCCAAAGCAAGACCCACATAAAGCAGGCTCAAAAACAAAGGTCTTTTTAAAACTTTACTGCAGAAATAAATGCAGTTTTCTTCACCTGGTGATAGCGAATTCAGCATCACAAAAAAGCTACGCATTATCTTATTGAAGTGCAGAAAACTAAAAGCTCATACCTACCGTATAAAAAATTAAAGTGGTCTTTTATGGTTCTGTAGGTTGAAACTGTGCTAAATAACTGCAACAGGAAGATTCTGTCATATATTCATCTTCCAACATTCAAGTTCTTTGGCAGAACTTTCAAAAAAGATTTCTTGAAAAACGTGTCTCAAATATTGCCAGTACTTGTCTTTGGTCAAAAGATCTTAGTGTCTCGTGCTGCTCTTTTGCATTCTCTTTAAAAATTTACAGTAGTACAACTGATTCTTTCAGCATCGAATCTTGTTCTTTGTGCTTGAGCCTGCCTCACTTTTTTTCTGGAATTGAGAAAGACCGTTTTAGAAATCGAAATTTTGAGAAAATTACTCTTTCAAAGTTGATTTCTCTGTAAGGTCAATTAGCTAACGATGCTTTGCCTTCATTTTCCGCGTATTCCGCGTAAAAGCACTCCGCAAACTAATCTTTGTAAAAATACGTTCTTGGTCACTAAAATCGTTTATAAGCCCCCTTCCAGCTAATTGGAAAGTTACAGAAACCTATCCACAAAAATCACAACTTCGCAGTCGAGTGACTGATTGAAAGTAAAACAGTTTGTACTGTTCAACAGAAATGTACAAACAAAATGCTAAGTCACTGCTAAACGATGAAGATAAAAACTACTAAACATTTCAGCCACGTCAGTCAAATATAAAACCCTGCTTGTAAAACAGTGGTAAAATCCTCATGTGTTGGAATAAGCACAATACGTCTTTGGATTCTGGTTTAGTTTGGCAAAAGAAAATTAATTTTTTATTTTTTACACTCAGGCGAAGTGGAGCGTAACTCTTCTAGCAGTCAACCAGATTTTACACCGAAGGACAAAAGTAATCAGCCTTTCCTTAAAGTTACAACTTTCAAACTGCTGAGTATGGTTTTTTTTGTCTTTTCGTTATTTTTTCTCAGCAAACACGGTTCTAAGCATTTCCTTTTCATTTGCTTAAGCAAAAATTTTTGCGTCGTGTTCATGGAAATACTTTGAAAGAAATATTTTTTTGATGCGAAGTTGAAAAGTTATTTATAATTTAACAGTATTTGCAGACTATTCAATTATTTCATGGTAAGTTTCAGTGAAAAGGCAAAGTATTATTGTTTTGAATATAATGGGCTAAATTTCAGAAGACTTATCACATTTAGTAGTTGCTGAAGCAGAAACAAATCTCCTGTAATTTGAAAACAGAGCCGCCCTAGAGAGCATTGACTTTTTAGTCCAAATCTTTTGTTGATAAAGACCTGATCGCGTGAATCAAAGTTTATGAGGCTTTAAGAAAATGAAAGAATCTTAGCTCATAAATACTCTGTCGCTAAAAAGCAGCAAAAAGATTATTGAGCAACCTGTCAACTCGCAACTCGCGACAAGTCGAAAAGTATAAACAAAGCAAATCTCTAACTGTAATATAGAGACGAGTTACAGGAAATAACAAGAAGCCCAACGATCTCCAATCGACATATTATTTTACCAGGTTGCATTATAAACAAGTTAGTCACGCTACGAAAGTTTGGTGGCAATTATATCACGAATCTCAAGTTACAAAATATATTAACTATTTTTGATGAAATTAGGAAGACGAGTGACTGTTTTTATCTCAAAAAAACAATATTGAACAGTATATTAAGAATCTGAAATTGTAAACAGGACAATCTTTATAAAATCTTATTCTTTCATTCTCTTCAATTTTTCTCAATTGTAACCTTATTTGAGTATCTCTATTATTCCTGCTACTTACTTTTTGCTTTCCTCAATAACTTCATTTGAGCATAATAAGATTTTTAGCGCAGACTTCAGTAACCTACTATTAGAGAGCATGAGCGTGGCAAGCACTTACATCTATATCAGAAATATTTATCATCTAAAACATCAAATTTAGCTACATAGTCAGTAGTTGTTCAACTAGCAGCGCTGACTAGTAGGCCTTATGCTTTAATACTGTAGACACTTGAGTAGAAAAAAATAGTAAAAACAGTGATTAAAATCAGCTAGAAAAAATAGCAGGAATGCACCACAAAATCGTTGTCAGTTATTTCAGATACTGACTGTGAAGTCAACTAAGCATCTAATTGTTGATATTAGCAACAATTTGAAATAAAAAATAATCGCTTGATTGAAGATGTGCTACAAGCAGAAGAAAAACAACGGTTCGGAGATGCTATTCAAAAATATTAGCTACTCTAATACGCTGTTGCATCTAGTAAAACTCTGCCAAAATTTATGCTCACAGTTCTAATTCTGGCTTTGAAAAAAGTTTTTCTAAGTTTATGTTTATTCGTGTTTGTGTAAAAAATGTAAATTTTGAAGAGAAAAAGCTCCTTTTTATCAGCTATTATCAGCTCCTTTCACTGAAACTAAAAAAAAAGACGGGTAACTAGGCAAAAGAAAAAAGATTAAAACGTCATTACCAAAATTGACCTTTTTGGTCAAGCGTAGAAAGAACTCTAAAGGTACGAGAATTTCTAAAAAGACTAGTAAGGCTTTAATGAGAAGCAAACAAGTAGCAGGTGACAAAATATTGAGACAGTCACAATCAAACCAAGCAGGAGCTTGAATGAGTGTGATGCAATACAGAAAAGTAGACATTATGCGTTAAAAATTTTTTTTTTCTTTATGCAAGAGAAAGCTTATGACAAAGAATTCATTGGAAATAAACAAATAGTTAATTATAATTTAGTAGGTCAGATTA